TGCAGGATAAGGGAGTTGATGCTCAGCTGACAACTGAGAGCTGAGTTGAATGTACTGTAAAAAGAAAACACTCAACTGTTTTTGGCCAGGTGAGGCACTTCCCTGAGCACAATTAACACTAAGAAAAGGACCAGGCGAATTCGAACTCACAAGCTGTTACGCTTCAATATTTCGGAGAGAGGGTTATGCTAGTGGTCCTGTGTTGAATTAACTTGGTAGGTATAATGTTATACTACAAGCAAGTGATTTCCGTACTAAGCTCTCTTGTCAAGCATCATGGAGGACGCAGAGCCGCTGCGCGCGCTCTCCGCCCACATCGCGTAAAAACGGACGCGGGTATCGCCCTTACTTAGATAGTCTCCCTCAGCTTTCCGCTCTATCGCCGCGTTCCTTCCGTCCCTAGTCCCTCCCCGCGCTGCGCGCGCTCTCCGTCCACAGCGCGTGACGCGGACCGTACTTGTCTCCCGCCGAGTAGCCATGGAGGACGCAGAGGCGCGCCGCTCTCGCCTGCGCAGCATGCGCGAGTCCGCGGCGAAGCAGCAGGCGGCGTCCCCCGGCGCGCCCACGCCTTCCGCCGCCCTCTCCGCACTCCCCTCCCCCGACTTCTCTCCGCCGCTTATCCGCACGCATCTGCGTGTGCGCCATCCGGGGAAGGCGGACCTGGGGGAGGTAGATCTGCTAGACGGCCAGCAGGAGCAGCCACCACAGGCTCGGGGAATTTCTCACAGGCCTCATGTAAATATCTTCAAAGCTCTAGCGTGTTTGTCTTAAAGCCCTATCATTCTCAGCTTCCGAGGTACCTGATCTACCCTACTCCCCAGCACCACGAGTGTCAAGTGCTGCCGTTTATGATTCCCAAGTCATCTCTCAAGCATTTCTCGTGTCATGTCGTGCTGGTGCCGCACCGTGCCGGGTCGCGCCGTGCCGTGCCTTGTCGTATCCTGTATGCCGACCGTATGTCGAAAATGTCCATCGGGGAACTACCTTGAGGCAGAAGCAACTCAACGTCTCTCCCTCCCCATGTGTGATGCACCCTCCAACTGCCTGTCTAACTAATATGGGCCCTTCTCCCAGGTTGAATAGAAAAAACCCCTGTTTCTGGCCTCCGTTTCCCTCCCTTGCAACATCCGGACTCAAGCAGACGCCATCACTGCATGTGACATGCTGCGCGCTGCAGGGCCCAGGAAGGTATGCGAGGCTACAGGGGAGGAAGAACAGTGGGTAGGTAGGTGAGGGGGACTTTCTGGAATCTCAATACTGTTTCGAACAAACGTGTGGACAGAGGGGAGGGGGTGAGTGAGACACCTCGAAACATTATGCCCTGCACTCCCACCTGCTGGAAAGGGGAGGAAAGAGTGACACACCTCAGCATGCGCAGCACTGGCACCTGCTGGAAAGGGGAGGACAGAGAGGAGGAGGTGTGTGACACACCGCAAAACAACATGCGCAGCACTGGCACCTGCTGGAAAGGGGAGGACAGAGAGGAGGAGGTGTGTGACACACCGCAAAACAACATGCGCAGCACTGGCACCTGCTGGAAAAGGGAGGACAGAGGGGAGGGGGTGAGTGAAACACCTCACAAAATTATGCCCTGCACCCCCACTCCGTGCTGCACCATCCGTCACACCACACGCTGCGCTGGCAGCTGCTGAAACAGGGGGAGGGAGGGAAGGGGAGGGGAGTTGAGGGGGTGGGTTACATGACTAAAAACAAAGGAGAGAGAGGAGGGGATGGGTCACATGACTCAAAACAGAGGGGAGAGACAAGGGGATGGGTAACAAGTCTCAAGAGGGGTTGAGGATATCATATGAATGATACTATGTTTAGTTCTTGTATGTTCTTGTTTCTGTTCTTAGTTCTTGTTTTGGTTGTTTCTTGAGCCGTTGTTTCCGTTCTTCTCTCACCATGGGGCGGCGAGGTGAGGAGGCGAGGTGCTAGACAGCGGCGCGTGGAGGGCTGAGCCGCCCGCGCGGAGGGCTGAGCCGCCCGCGTGGAGGGCTGAGCCGCCCACGTGGAGGGCTGAGCCGCCCGCGTGGAGGGCTGAGCTGCCCGTGTGGAGGGCTGAGCCGGCGTCCATGGGGTGGCCGACCCACCCCATGCGCCATCAACACCACGTGCTGCAGTGGCTCATGCTGGAAGGGGTAGCCTGGTTGTAGGGTTTCGGGTTCAGAGGGAGCGGAGGGAGAGGAGACGTGATTGGAAATTGAACTGAGCATTCTCACGAACAGCAGCGCCTTGCACCCAGAGTCCACACTCGCGAACCAAGGCTGTGGGATGTCGAGGGGAGGGCGAACAGCAGGGGCAAGGGGAGGGAGAAAGACGAGCAGAGAAAGGGGAGTTAGAGGGAGAGGGAGGGGTGATGATGGATCCTCAGAAACAGCGGCGCCTTGCACCTAAACTCACAGTGCATGCTCTGGGGCGACTCACAACACACATGCGGCTGGTTTGGTGGGCCATGCGGCATGGCATGGCGCTGCGCTCCCTCCCCCTGCTTCTGTTTCTCTCCCTTGTTCTCTCTCATGTACCGCGCATGGAAGATGAGGGACGGCCACACAAGCAGCTGGCAACGCATCTGCTCCCTGTGCAAAGTATCTTCATCTTGGCGACAGGAGAAACTCGCACCTGCGCAAGGGGAGGGGAGGAGTTGGGGTGGGGGAGCAGAGCAAGTGAGCGGGGGGAGCAGGGCAAGTGAGTGGTGTAGCAGAGCAGGTGAGTGGTGCGGCAGAGCAGGTGAGTGGTGCGGCAGAGCAGGTGAGTGGTGCGGCAGAGCAGGTAGGTGGTGCGGCAGAGCAGGTGAGTGGTGCGGCAGAGCAGGTGAGTGGTGCGGCAGAGCAGGTGAGTGGTGCGGCAGAGCAGGTGAGTGGTGCGGCAGAGCAGGTGAGTGGTGCAGCAGAGCAGGTGAGTGGTGCGGCAGAGCAGGTGAGTGGTGCGGCAGAGCAGGTGAGTGGTGCGGCAGAGCAGGTGAGTGGTGCGGCGGAGCAGGTGAGTGGTGCGGCAGAGCAGGTGAGTGGTGCGGCAGAGCAGGTGAGTGGTGCTGCAGAGCAGGTGAGTGGTGCGGCAGAGCAGGTGAGTGGTGCGGCAGAGCAGGTGAGTGGTGCGGCAGAGCAGGTGAGTGGTGCGGCAGAGCAGGTGAGTGGTGCGGCAGAGCAGGTGAGTGGTGCGGCAGAGCAGGTGAGTGGTGCGGCAGAGCAGGTGAGTGGTGCAGCAGAGCAGGTGAGTGGTGCAGAGCAGGTGGGTGGTGCGGCAGAGCAGGTGAGTGGTGCGGCAGAGCAGGTGAGTGGTGCGGCAGAGCAGGTGAGTGGTGCGGCAGAGCAGGTGAGTGGTGCGGCAGAGCAGGTGAGTGGTGCGGCAGAGCAGGTGAGTGGTGCGGCAGAGCAGGTGAGTGGTGCGGCAGAGCAGGTGAGTGGTGCGGCAGAGCAGGTGAGTGGTGCGGCAGAGCAGGTGAGTGGTGCGGCAGAGCAGGTGAGTGGTGCGGCAGAGCAGGTGAGTGGTGCGGCAGAGCAGGTGAGGTGAGTGGTGCGGCAGAGCAGGTGAGTGGTGTAGCAGAGCAGGTGAGTGGTGCGGCAGAGCAGGTGAGTGGTGCGGCAGAGCAGGTGAGTGGTGCGGCAGAGCAGGTGAGTGGTGCGGCAGAGCAGGTGAGTGGTGCGGCAGAGCAGGTGAGTGGTGCGGCAGAGCAGGTGAGTGGTGCAGCAGAGCAGGTGAGTGGTGCGGCAGAGCAGGTGAGTGGTGCGGCAGAGCAGGTGAGTGGTGCGGCAGAGCAGGTGAGTGGTGCAGCAGAGCAGGTGAGTGGTGCAGCAGAGCAGGTGAGTGGTGCAGCAGAGCAGGTGAGTGGTGCGGCAGAGCAGGTGAGTGGTGCAGCAGAGCAGGTGAGTGGTGCAGCAGAGCAGGTGAGTGGTGCGGCAGAGCAGGTGAGTGGTGCGGCAGAGCAGGTGAGTGGTGCGGCAGAGCAGGTGAGTGGTGCAGCAGAGCAGGTGAGTGGTGCGGCAGAGCAGGTGAGTGGTGCGGCAGAGCAGGTGAGTGGTGCGGCAGAGCAGGTGAGTGGTGCAGCAGAGCAGGTGAGTGGTGCAGCAGAGCAGGTGAGTGGTGCAGCAGAGCAGGTGAGTGGTGTGGCAGAGCAGGTGAGTGGTGCAGCAGAGCAGGTGAGTGGTGCAGCAGAGCAGGTGAGTGGTGCGGCAGAGCAGGTGAGTGGTGCGGCAGAGCTGGTGAGTGGTGCGGCAGTGCAGGTGAGTGGTGCAGGTGAGTGGTGCAGCAGAGCAGGTGAGTGGTGCGGCAGAGCAGGTGAGTGGTGCAGCAGAGCAGGTGAGTGGTGCGGCAGAGCAGGTGAGTGGTGCGGCAGAGCAGGTGAGTGGTCCGGCAGAGCAGGTGAGTGGTGCGGCAGAGCAGGTGAGTGGTGCGGCAGAGCAGGTGAGTGGTGCGGCAGAGCAGGTGAGTGGTGCGGCAGGGCAGGTGAGTGGTGCGGCAGAGCAGGTGAGTGGTGCGGCAGAGCAGGTGAGTGGTGCGGCAGAGCAGGTGAGTGGTGCGGCAGAGCAGGTGAGTGGTGCGGCAGAGCAGGTGAGTGGTGCGGCAGAGCAGGTGAGTGGTGCGGCAGAGCAGGTGAGTGGTGCGGCAGAGCAGGTGAGTGGTGCGGCAGAGCAGGTGAGTGGTGCGGCAGAGCAGGTGAGTGGTGCGGCAGAGCAGGTGAGTGGTGCGGCAGAGCAGGTGAGTGGTGCGGCAGAGCAGGTGAGTGGTGCGCAGAGCAGGTGAGTGGTGCGGCAGAGCAGGTGAGTGGTGCGGCAGAGCAGGTGAGTGGTGCGGCAGAGCAGGTGAGTGGTGCGGCAGAGCAGGTGAGTGGTGCGGCAGAGCAGGTGAGTGGTGCGGCAGAGCAGGTGAGTGGTGCGGCAGAGCAGGTGAGTGGTGCGGCAGAGCAGGTGAGTGGTGCGGCAGAGCAGGTGAGTGGTGCGGCAGAGCAGGTGAGTGGTGCGGCAGAGCAGGTGAGTGGTGCGGCAGAGCAGGTGAGTGGTGCGGCAGAGCAGGGAGTGGTGCGGCAGAGCAGGTGAGTGGTGCGGCAGAGCAGGTGAGTGGTGCGGCAGAGCAGGTGAGTGGTGCGGCAGAGCAGGTGAGTGGTGCGGCAGAGCAGGTGAGTGGTGCGGGTGCGGCAGAGCAGGTGAGTGGTGCGGCAGAGCAGGTGAGTGGTGCGGCAGAGCAGGTGAGTGGTGCGGCAGAGCAGGTGAGTGGTGCGGCAGAGCAGGTGAGTGGTGCGGGGTGCGGCAGAGCAGGTGAGTGGTGCGGCAGAGCAGGTGAGTGGTGCGGCAGAGCAGGTGAGTGGTGCGGCAGAGCAGGTGAGTGGTGCGGCAGAGCAGGTGAGTGGTGTCGGCAGAGCAGGTGAGTGGTGCAGCAGAGCAGGTGAGTGGTGCGGCAGAGCAGGTGAGTGGTGCGGCAGAGCAGGTGAGTGGTGCGGCAGAGCAGGTGAGTGGTGCGGCAGAGCAGGTGAGTGGTGCGGCAGAGCAGGTGAGTGGTGCAGCAGAGCAGGTGAGTGGTGCAGGCAGAGCAGGTGAGTGGTGCGGCAGAGCAGGTGAGTGGTGCGGCAGAGCAGGTGAGTGGTGCGGCAGAGCAGGTGGGTGGTGCGGCAGAGCAGGTGGGTGGTGCAGCAGAGCAGGTGAGTGGTGCGGCAGAGCAGGTGAGTGGTGCGGCAGAGCAGGTGAGTGTTTCGGCAGAGCAGGTGAGTGGTGCGGCAGAGCAGGTGAGTGGTGCGGCAGAGCAGGTGAGTGGTGCGGCAGAGCAGGTCAGCGGTGCGGCAGAGCAGATCAGCAGTGCGGCAGAGCAGGTGAGCGGTGCGGCAGAGCAGGTGAGCGGTGCGGCAGAGCAGGTGAGCGGTGCGGCAGAGCAGGTGAGCGGTGCGGCAGAGCAGGTGAGCGGTGCGGCAGAGCAGGTGAGCGGTGCGGCAGAGCAGGTGAGCGGTGCGGCAGAGCAGGTGAGCGGTGAGGCAGAGCAGGTGAGCGGTGCGGCAGAGCAGGTGAGCGGTGCGGCAGAGCAGGGTGAGCGGTGCGGCAGAGCAGGTGAGCGGTGCGGCAGAGCAGGTGAGCGGTGCGGCAGAGCAGGTGAGCGGTGCGGCAGAGCAGGTGAGCGGTGCGGCAGAGCAGGTGAGTCGGTGCGGCAGAGCAGGTGAGCGGTGCGGCAGAGCAGGTGAGCGGTGCGGCAGAGCAGGGGAGCGGTGCGGCAGAGCAGGTGAGCGGTGCGGCAGAGCAGGTCAGCGGTGCGGCAGAGCAGGTGAGCGGTGCGGCAGAGCAGGTGAGTGGTTGCGGCAGAGCAGGTGAGCGGTGCGGCAGAGCAGGTGAGCGGTGCGGCAGAGCAGCGGTGAGGCGGTGCGGCAGAGCAAGGTGAGCGGTGCGGCAGAGCAGGTGAGCGGTGCGGCAGAGCAGGTGAGCGGTGCGGCAGAGCAGGTGAGCGGTGCGGCAGAGCAGGTGAGCGGTGCGGCAGAGCAGGTGAGCGGTGCGGCAGAGCAGGTGAGCGGTGCGGCAGAGCAGGTGAGCGGTGCGGCAGAGCAGGTGAGCGGTGCGGCAGAGCAGGTGAGCGGTGCGGCAGAGCAGGTGAGCGGTGCGGCAGAGCAGGTGAGCGGTGCGGCAGAGCAGGTGAGCGGTGCGGCAGAGCAGGTGAGCGGTGCGGCAGAGCAGGTGAGCGGTGCGGCAGAGCAGGTGAGCGGTGCGGCAGAGCAGGTGAGCGGTGCGGCAGAGCAGGTGAGCGGTGCGGCAGAGCAGGTGAGCGGTGCGGCAGAGCAGGTGAGCGGTGCGGCAGAGCAGGTGAGCGGTGCGGCAGAGCAGGTGAGCGGTGCGGCAGAGCAGGTGAGCGGTGCGGCAGAGCAGGTGAGGGGTGCGGCAGAGCAGGTGAGTGGTGCGGCAGAGCAGGTGAGTGGTGCGGCAGAGCAGGTGAGTGGTGCGGCAGAGCAGGTGAGTGGTGCGGCAGAGCAGGTGAGTGGTGCGGCAGAGCAGGTGAGTGGTGCGGCAGAGCAGGTGAGTGGTGCGGCAGAGCAGGTGAGTGGTGCGGCAGAGCAGGTGAGTGGTGCGGCAGAGCAGGTGAGTGGTGCGGCAGAGCAGGTGAGCGGTGCGGCAGAGCAGGTGAGTGGTGCGGCAGAGCAGGTGAGTGGTGCAGGGTGCGGCAGAGCAGGTGAGTGGTGCGGCAGAGCAGGTGAGTGGTGCGGCAGAGCAGGTGAGTGGTGCGGCAGAGCAGGTGAGTGGTGCAGCAGAGCAGGTGAGTGGTGCGGCAGAGCAGGTGAGTGGTGCAGCAGAGCAGGTGAGTGGTGCAGCAGAGCAGGTGAGCGGTGCGGCAGAGCAGGTGAGTGGTGCGGCAGAGCAGGTGAGTGGTGCGGGGTGCGGCAGAGCAGGTGAGTGGTGCGGCTGAGCAGGTGAGTGGTGCGGCAGAGCAGGTGAGTGGTGCGGCAGAGCAGGTGAGTGGTGCAGCAGAGCAGGTGAGTGGTGCAGCAGAGCAGGTGAGTGGTGCAGCAGAGCAGGTGAGTGGTGCAGCAGAGCAGGTGAGTGGTGCGGCAGAGCAGGTGAGTGGTGCAGCAGAGCAGGTGAGTGGTGCGGCAGAGCAGGTGAGTGGTGCGGCAGAGCAGGTGAGTGGTGCAGCAGAGCAGGTGAGTGGTGCGACAGAGCAGGTGAGTGGTGCAGCAGAGCAGGTGAGTGGTGCAGCAGAGCAGGTGAGTGGTGCGGCAGAGCAGGTGAGTGGTGCGGCAGAGCAGGTGAGTGGTGCGACAGAGCAGGTGAGTGGTGCGGCAGAGCAGGTGAGTGGTGCAGCAGAGCAGGTGAGTGGTGCGGCAGAGCAGGCAGAGTTGGCATTAGCAACCCGTGGCATTGCAACCTTTCTGACCTGATTGCTCCTCTCCTCCCATTCTTTCTCCCTACAGGCTGTGCTCGCACGAACCTTGCAGCACCGCTCTCCACCTCTGGACGGCACCGAGTCCTCTCCCACTCCCCCCACTCCCAATCGCCTGGAGCTCTGCCTCGTTCAGAGCCGTGATGACATTATAAGCCCGCCTGTTGTGTTACGTGCACAAGCGGTTGAAAGCGGTGTAGATGGTTTAGATGGATTGCAAGATGGTGAAAGTGCCTTGGTGAGCGGTGACAGTGTAGGGGTGCTGCAGGATAAGGGAGTTGATGCTCAGCTGACAACTGAGAGCTGAGTTGAATGTACTGTAAAAAGAGAACGCTCAACTGTTTTTGGCCGGGTGAGGCACTTTCCTGAGCACAATTAACATCATGAAAAGGACCAGGCGGGAATCGAACCCACGAGGTGTTGCACATTTGTGTTTGATAGAGAAGGTTATGCTACTGGTCCTGTGATATAAGCAATTTGTTGTGTACTATAGTATTTGACAACGACGTGATTTATGCTATTTGTTGTGTACTGAGCTCTCTTGTCAAGCATCATGGAGGACGCAGAGCCGCTGCGCGCGCTCTCCGCCCACATCGCGTAAAAACGGACCAGGCGGGTATCGCGATAGTTTCCCTCAGCTTTCCGCTCTATCGCCGCGTTCCTTCCGTCCCTAGTCCCTCCCCGCGCTGCGCGCGCTCTCCGTCCACAGCGCGTGACGCGGACCCTACTTGTCTCCCGGGTCTCTCGGGTGAGAGCCGAGTATCCTAACCGACTAGACTACAACGGATGTCACCAACCTTTGACACAAAAATAATGACCTATGTGTTTTTCTGCAATTCTGCCGCTCACGATGACGTTTTCCCATGCGGTTGTCATGACGTCGTCTCTCTCCGTCGCCCTGCACGGGGGCGGTCGCGTGCTCAGCATTCAGTCACATACCGTCCAGGTATCCGTTGCATGCAGTCGTACACTGCCCAGGTATCCTTCGCATTCTGTCGCAGACCGTGTTGGTCACCGTCGCATTCACCTGCCCTCACGGTCCAGATAGCAAACGATACTGACGTCGTTACTCTACCCCGGCGTAGGCAATGCAAAGCAGCGTTTAAACGTTACGTAGGGTAACCCTACGGTAGCCAAAGCAACCGCCGGTGGCCGAGAGTCCCTCTCAGGTGTCTCTCAGACGCCCCTCTCAAGTGACTCTCAGGTTACCCTCTCAGGTGTCTCTCAGGTGCCCATCTCAGGTGTCCATCTCGGGTGCCCCTTTCAGGTGCCCCACTCAGGTGTTTCTCAGGCGCCCATCTCAGGTGTCTCTCAGGCGCCCCTCTCAGGTATTTTCTCAGGGGGTCCCTCTCAGGCTTCTCTCAGCTGTCCCTTTCAGCTGCCCCTCTCAGGTGTCTCTCAGGTTCCCCTCTCAGGTGCCCATCCCAGGTGTCTCTCCAATGTCTCTCAGGTGCTTGCTTAGTACGACCATGCGAAGTCTGGTATGAAGCTCTGAGTGTCTCGGTCATGCATCAAGTGTATGAAGCATGGGCTCATGCGAACGCGTGTGTGATGGCGTGTGTCTGCATTGAGTGTATGAGTGTATGTATATACATGCATACATATATCTATCTAAATACATATTTATGTTTATACATCTATGTGTTTACACCCTGACACTTCGGTCACATATCTATATTGCTTCGTACACGGTCCATGCGTCAGAACTATGTGGGTGGGCAGCAAGGTGGCCAGGTTCCCCCGGCAGCTGGTGAGTGGTGCGGCAGAGCAGGTGAGTGGTGCGGCAGAGCAGGTGAGTGGTGCAGCAGAGCAGGTGAGAGGTGCAGCAGAGCAGGTGAGTGGTGCAGCAGAGCAGGTGAGTGGTGCGGCAGAGCAGGTGAGTGGTGCGGCAGAGC